CAAGTTGTACTATACTGCATCTCTTGTTCACATTATGGTAATATATTCTTTCTGCTTTTAAGCCCAGCCTAACTCTTTTGTGTGTGTGTGTGTGTATATGTGTGTGTGTGTGTGTGTGTGTGTGTGTGTGTGTGTGTGTGTGTGTGTGTGTTTTGCAGGTTCTCCAGCTGGGTTCAGATATCTTGCCTCAGTACAAACAGGAAACCCCAAAGACACCACCACACATCATTCTCCACTACTGCCTTTTCAAGACCACGTGGGACTGGGTTATCCTCATCCTGACATTCTACACTGCTATCATGGTGCCCTACAATGTCTCGTTTAAGACCAAGCAGAACAATGTCACCTGGCTGGTGGTGGACAGCATTGTGGATGTCATCTTCCTCGTGGACATTGTCCTCAATTTCCACACTACGTTTGTTGGTCCAGCTGGAGAGGTTATCTCTGATCCCAAACTAATTCGCATGAACTATGTCAAAACCTGGTTTGTCATCGACCTCTTGTCCTGCTTGCCTTATGATGTTATCAACGCTTTTGAGAATGTGGATGAGGTTTGTGGGGATTTTTATTATAATTTATTTAAGATGAATGCTATGTTTTTACATCCTCTTTGTTCAGTCATGAGGTTGCAGTCATGATTGAACACTGGGTTCCTGTCACAGACCAGATTTAAAACTAATCAGTGTGTAGTACCTAAGATGAGCAGACTTAATAAACTGTTCAGTGCAACTGAGTCTCTTGGAATTTGGGGATATTTTAGGGACATATGTTGATGATGTTTTAGATTGAAAATAACTACTGTGTTTAATTATCAATGAATCTATTATTCAGCTCCATTCAAATCCAAAGGCATTTGGTTGATTAAGACTTTCCATAATCATAACAGTATTAAATGATTATAAGTGATTTGTAACCTTTAGCAATTCAAATCACATTTGTTGAGAATGAGCTCTTGTTATGCAAATCTTTGAAACCAAAAAAATATAATTGGCTGATTTATGTCATGTTTGGGTTTGACCAGCAAATAGAACTCTTTAGAATTTGAATATTTTTTGGGTTAAGACTGGAAGTATTTAGCCTAGTCTAATTTTTGATTGAGGGAGAAACTGGAGTTTCTAGAGAAGACACGAGAAAGCACAGTGTATACAAAGCAAGATGTAATGTATTATCTTTATAACAAGTTTCCTATGTTATGCACAGGCCCTTAAACTTCAGCTTGTAGAATCAAAGCTCAAACATAGAGGTGGAAGTGTGATGATTTGGGTGTCCCTTGACTAAAAGAGATATGACAGAATTTTGCTGAGAAAACGCCTATGGGAGCAGCTATATTTAGACTTTTCGTAGAACAGAGTGCCGGCTTCCAACTCATATTCTTTTATTTGTGTTTTCTTTCAGCATTAATGTGAGAGTGCAGCTACAATGGATTTTTCATCTCAGAGACTCACTTTATTTTTTACTTCATGTGTTTTTAAGTCTTTGCAAACTGGCCTGAATTTTAATTTACTCAAGCAGTTCGCTACGAACCCAATTCCACAGAGGACTTGGGCTTATTTAATGCATAGTAACTTCTCAACAGAAAATATACATATAAAATGTAACAGTTTTAAACTTCCAGTTTAACATAGGCTTACACACAGCTAACAAGTTGGTTACTCTTTTGAGACCTGCATATATGTGTCTTTCAGAAAGGCATCAATTTTAAATACTATAGTTTAAATAATCTTTGGTAGTGAGGAACTAGTTTCTGTAATGCATCAAATTTCTGTGTGTCTATTTTTGATTTTTTGATAGCCAACTCTTCCTACACAGTCAGGAGTTGCGCATCCGAACTTGGCACATAAGTCCATTATAGGCCCTTGAAGACTCTGAAGACCATGTCACATATTATCTTGTCATTGTCCTTCATAAACTGTTCATGATGAGTCTGAGTATGCAGAGGGTCCCGCTGCTGTGGAAGACATCATGCCTCATTCCTGTCATTGCGTTGTTGACAATTGACAGGCAAGCGGGCTAACAGTTCCAAGGAATTCCCATCCTTACTTCTTATTCCCTTAGGTGGATTGGGCATGCAACCTTTTTCCTGCTCAGAACCATGGCCCCTATATTGGAGGAGTTAATTCTAATTCTTCACACGACATTGTAGAGGCATGTCAACCAAGGCAGCCCTACATCATCCAGGGCCATCTGGAAGTCAGGGTCTATTGCATCCACCCCAGGGGCCCTGCCACCAAGGAGTTAACAGCCTCAGTAACTTCGGCCCCACTGATAGGGAAGTCATCCCTGTCATTCCCACCGATATGGAAAAGAAATAGTAAAAACTTACATGATTTACTCATGAAAGTGGCCACTTTCTCATTACTTTCATATATTGTTTTAGTAATTATCCAAAACATACAAGTTTCATTATATAATTTTTCACTCTTATATGCTTTTCATACAAGTTTCACACAAGACAGATACAAACTTTATAAGATTTATATATATCTTTTCCATATGGGCAAACTTACCGTCTGAAATTTTAGTTCCGCACATCAAATAATTTTCAAGATAATTTAGTTAAATCTGTGTATATTTGTCATTTTCTAAACCTGGATCACTTGAATCTCAAATCATCAGGTTTTTGGGGATGAATCTTCTAAAGGTGGGTTGGTTCCAAAGTGTGGGTAATCTTGACAGAGATAAAAGACAAACATAGAAAAGGCTGAAGGAACAGAATAGGAGCACACAGCTGGATTAACCTAAGGATATAAAAAACAGAAATTCAAAACTATAGACTTGAAATAACAATATCAAAGGAAATTTTACCAGGTGTAGAGAAACATAGAAATATAAACATTAGGAAATGGCTGACAGCTCAATTCCAACAATACATAATCCTCTTTCAAATAAATAAAACTCTAGAAAGAACCAAAACCCCCAAAACTCATAACATAGACAGCCCCAACAGCAAGTGTGCCAGAAGTGTAAAAGGATCAAAAAGCTATTATCCTATAAGGATCACCTTAGCCTTCATTCACATCCACTCAAAGTCATCCACTGAGCATAAATATTTACTATATTGAAGAAGAAAGATGTGTAAAAGTATTGTGAGCTTACTTGGGAAAAGTGACGAGACAGAAATCTCAAATATGAACAGGAATTCAAAAATACTGATGTATCACCCTGTTTCAGAAAATCATTTCTTCTGTTGACATTTGGGCATTTATTGAAGAGGAACAATGCACAGAACTCTATAAGCCTCAGCCTTAGGTAAGGTAAATAAAAAAAAAAAATGGCAGTGGTGCCACTATCGAAACTTTGGGGCATTACTGGAGATTGACAATTCATCTCTTCTTCCACAACATCGCAGGATAAAATACTGTCCTTACTCAAGAGTACACTTTAGCTAACTTTCAGAAGAGTTGATTCTGTTAATCTGGACATAGTACTTTCAGTGTTTCCTTACTTATCCAAGCGACTTCTTCGGTTTTAGCTGAATGCAAGTTTCCCCAACCTTATAGAGAGTACATTTGTATGATTACTGAAACTAGCACCACTGACGAACGATGGGCTGTGAGGTCAGTTTCTTGATTATCAATATGCACATTGTCATGATTATTAATCAACAACCACTGATCATGACATGCCGTGAGTACCATTCACAGAGAGTTGGAGAATGGCTGCAATCTCAGCATTGCAATATAGTAAAAGATGTAACGTCCTCAATTCAGAGATAGTCTTTCCCCACTTCACGTAAATGGCCTCCTTGACTCCTTGCTCAAACTACTGTTCCTCTCTGTCCAGGATGCGTGTATCCTCATCTTGGAGTATACATGCATATGCATAAAGTTCCCCTCTCCCCCCTGTGGATGGTCTTTATCCTTCAAGCTCGGGTCCTCTGCAAGAGGCCTGGGAGCTTTAGGGTGCTGCACAGTGTCTTTGCTGTTCTTAGGACTGAGCTGCTCTGGACAGATCTCGGATGTTGTTCCTGGGATCTGCTGGAGCCACTCACGTAACATGGGAGTCACTGCACCGAGTGCTCCGATTATCACTGGGACCACTGTTACCTTCACCCTCCATATCTTCTCAAGCTCTTCTCTGAGTCATTGGAACTTCTCCAACTTCCTTTTTCCTGATGTTGCTGTCATTCGGTTTCGCTACATCTATCACAGGGGTCGGCGTGCGGCTCTTTAGTCGTTATAGTGCGGCTCCTCGTGGTTTGGGAAAATAAATTAGAAGTATTTAGCTGAAGTGTATTTTATTTATGTTAGTTCTTTTTTACCTTGTAGTTCTAAATTGGAAGTTTATTGTGATATTGAAATATAAAAATAAAATTATATTTTATTATTTTTTCATCACTCAAAATAAG